AATCAAAAGAGTTGTTCCACTTCACTTTCTTCAGCCTTGTTCGCTTCAATTTCAACATTTTCAGTATTCTTTTCTTTGCAAATCTTCTCGACATGCCCCATTTTATTGCATTTCCTGCATTTAACATCGGGTCTTTTCCAACATCTCCAATGTGGATGACCCTTCTTACCACAATGCTTGCACGATTCAATGGATTGCTCACCAAATTTTTCATTTCCTGTAGAATTTATTTTTGCATTTGCTATTAGAGCACCTTCCACCGATTCATCCTTTCTCATAGACTCCTCCTTTCTCATAAACCTCCTTTGTTCTTGCGCTTGAAGGGCACAAAGAACCTCTGACAATTTGATTTTCGCCATGTCTTTAGTGTTCTCCAAAGATGCCACCGTTGCTTCAAACTTTTCCGGAATAGAAACCAGAATTTTCTGCACAATCTTAACATCATCAACTTCGGTGCCAAGAATTCTTACCTTGTTGATTATATCGACAAGACGATCGATATAATCTTTCACAGACTCGTTTTCCTTCATTTTCTGTCGTTCGAATTCTCGCAGCAAATTCAGAACCTTCAATCCTCGAATTTTTTCATCCCCTTCGTACTCCTTTTTCAGAAATTCCCACATACCTTTCGCCGATTGAAGCTTCATAATCTTGATCATGATTGAGGGAGAAACTGCAGCAAACATGCACGATTTCGCCTTCGCCTTCCTCATCACTTTCTCTTTGTGATTCTTAAGTTGGTTTGTCGTCGGGTTTACCGGTAATGGAGGAACGTCGTAATCCTCCTCAACAGCTTCCCAAAGATCGGCACCCTCCATAAACGCTTGCATTCTGACGGCCCAAACCTCATAGTTTTCCCCGTCGAAGATCGGGGCAACCATGTTTAAAGCCGAATTCACCGAATTTTCAGATTGATCCATGTTCGATCCACAGATCCCAGAAAGACCTCAAAACGCTCTGATACCACTGTTATCTTCCTTTTAATTCCTCTCAAAGAGTGTTTCTCTCTCTCAATTCACTCTTTCT